CGTTTCTGCGAAACACCATTCGAAACTCCAGGCAATGAAGTGATGCTGGGGCGTGTGGAGTGTGAGATGAACGAGGCACTGAAGCTCCGTGAACATGGAGAAGAAGAACATTGGAGCTGGAAGCGTCTATGGTCGGACCTCGCAAAGGATGTGGTGGTAGGTGAAGATGAGGGGACAATGCAGGGCTACATCCTCGACTATGTGGAGAAGATGGTCTTGGAGATGGAGAACAAGTTGACTGACATGCGAGGCGATGATGAGAAGATCCAGATAGCGGCAATGGCTGTTGATGTCTCGCAATCGCCGGAGCAGCAAGCAGTCCACTCGGTCCTGCAAACCTACACGGTGCCCCTAGCACAGGTTCGAAAAGATCTTCCACTATGGATTCCGCCTCTCAAGAACGAGGTAACATCGCTGGAAACGTCAACCACAGCTGTTCGGCCTGTGAAGGTGAAGGATTTGGTGAATGAACCGGGCTATGAAGAGATGCTGGTGGTCCCATCGAAGGTTGTCCCGACGGTGAAGGCCCCGGATGCTCGCAAGAAAGCCCGTATCGTTCTTTGTGGCAATTTGGTGGAGGACACCTCAAAATGTCGAGAGCAACCTATGGCCCTGGAGGATCGTCAAGATGACCAACCGCCTCAACAGAAGACCATGGGAAGCAGTTTTGATTTATATGCCAGTGGCATCGATGGCATGTCATTGAGGCGCACGTTGCGAAAAGCGGCTCAGGAGAAGTGGTCCATCGGGGTTACTGATGTCTCTACAGCGTTTTTGCTTGCACCTCGGAAATCGTCCAGGCTCATGGTGACGAAGCCGCCGTCCATCCTGGTAGAGGCTGGACTCATCGAGCCTGACATTCGCTGGGTGATCGAGAAGGCGGTCTACGGCCTGGACACATCTCCCTCTGACTGGCAGGCCTACAGGGATGAAGCGCTGCAGAGCATGCGGTGGTGGGAGGATGGGGTGCATAATTGGGTGGTTCCCACTCCGGAGCCCAATGTGTGGCGACTGATGACTGCACCTGGAGGTGAGGAGGAATTTGTGAAGGTGATGGATGATGGGTCAACGGCAGGGTATGCTTTGTCCTATGTCGACGACTTCATTGTCACTGCTCCTCGTCCCACGGCAGAACGTTTCCTGAAGAAGCTATCAACCATGTGGAAGTGCGCCGAGCCAAAATGGGTGACTCAGCACCAGTGGTTGAAATTTTGTGGCATAGAGATGAGGTGGAAGGGTGATGAATTGTTGGTGGGGCAGCCTGACTACACGCGGGAAATTGTTAGTCGGTATCCTGACCTTCAGCCTCGCCAAGTTCCCCTCCCGAAGCTGGATGATGTGGACCTGGAGGACGAAATTCTTCAGGAGGATGTGAAAAAATGTCAAACCATCATCGGTGAGCTTCTTTGGCTATCGACAAGTACAAGGCCTGACCTGAGCTTTGCGGTCTCCTACCTGGGTTCCAGGGTGACAAAATGTCCAAAGAAAGTGCTCAAGTTGGCTCATCATGTGGTGGGGTACCTCATGAACACCCTTGACTATGCGCTTGCCTATAAGCCATGTTCCGAGGAGACGGACTCCTATGGCCGGCAGAGCTCGATGTCCAGGCTGGAGGTGTTGGCAGACTCGTCGTTTGCACCAACTGGAGGAAAAGGTCATCAGGGCATCATGTGCCTGTGGGGTGGTGCTTTGGTGGCTTGGGAATCAAAAACTCAGCCCTTTGCAACGCTGAGTACAACTGAATGTGAACTTCTGGGGTATGTTGATGGCCTTACCCTTGGAGAAAGTGTTGGAGCGATTGTCAACGTCCTCGAGCAGAATGCGCTGGCCCATGAAGGCTGCTATGTTTTGCGAGGCGACAATTTGTCAGGTTTGCAGCTGCTGCATGCCCCAAGCGGGCCCTGGCGGACGAGGCATCTTAGGCTCCGCAGCCACGTTTTGAGGGAACGGTTGCAGATGAAGCTGTGGCATGCAGAGCACATCCCTGGCGCTGACCTATGCGCTGACCTGTTGACCAAGGCGATCACTGTGCCTCGGAGCTGGGAATCATTTGCTTCTACGGTGGGGCTTGTGTCGGTGGAGCCGGAGGCGTCTGCGGAGGACCCTGCGCTTTCTCGCTTGAAGAAGTTGGCGCTGGGTGCGGCGGTGGCGTTGGGACTGTTAGTGGTGGCTCCAGGCCTGGGCCCTGCGGTCCGAGCGGCATCGGTGTGCGGCTTGGCAGCGTTGACGGCATTTGTGCACAAGAAGTGTTCTAAGACGGCAGATGGCCAGTCAACAAAGAGGTCTAACGCATCCCATTCAAAAGAAACATCAAGATGGTCGAGGGAAGATGAACCCGGCCCAACATCAAGATGGTCGAGGGAAGATGAACCCGGCCCTATCGAACGCGGGAGGAACACAACCTATAGAACCTCCCCGCCCGTCGATCGTCCGACTTCGTGCGACTGTTGCCGGACCGGCACCCCGAGGGTTACCAAGGGTTTTGTTTCGCCTTGCAGCCATGGCCGAATGCGGATGTGCGCCATGAAGGCGCCGCCGACAAAACCGCCGCCTAGGCATGTGGGCTTGGGAACGGATGAGCCTTGGGAGCTTGCTCGCTTCATGTCGCCGCCGACTGGCCTGGACCGGTGGGAATGCCTTGGATGTGGCACCGCCAGTGGTGATTGGTGGGTGAGGGTCCTCAAGAGGCCCAGGGTGCGGCAGTTCCATCCGCTCCACAGGGGGACGCCTGTTTCGATCGGACGTCTCTCGCCAACCCGGATCACTGTGGCCTTCAGCCGGGGGAGCACAAGAGAAGCCTGGCGTCGACGATGCATCATCGATGACTGGGTGGAGAACAGAAATTCGGATGTCAGAGACTGCTATGAATGGGGTGGCTACACGTTCTTCTTCGAGAAGTTTGGCCCAGAGGCTGGTGCTGCAAAGGGCGAGGAAGCGTTGTCTTCGCAGGCTCAAATGCCGCTGCGGCCTGGAGCTGGAGGATCTCAACCCCGTGAAGGGTATGGAGGTGATGGTGGCACTTCTTCGCATGCTGCGGAGAGGGGTCGGAAAGCTGTGGAGGCCTTAACTGGTACTTCATTTCAAATGTCACGTGCCTATGACGGCACGGCAATCACTGCACGAGTCAATGTGACCTTGGAGGGTGTCCCCGTGAGCGGCTATGAGGCAAGGCGCCTTGGGTGCTTGAAAAGGGGAGAGATCGGGCCGTCCGCTTCGTCGAGGGCGGTGGACCTGAATGAGGAGGCTTGGAGGGTCTCGCTGGAGAGTGAGCGGTTAAGTCCGCCGGAAGCTGATGGTCTGCCCATTTGGATGGGCGTTGAGACGCCATTTGTGAGGCCTCCTGGCCTAAGCCACGACAGCGAAGACTCGCGGTCGGTTGGAAGCTTTGAACTTTTGGGTGACGCTGCAGAAGAAAAAACCTGCAGTGGATCCCTATGAAGCCATGTATGCTGGCACCTTTGACCAGCATAGGGGGAGTGTGAGTGGAAAAGCACACGACCCAAAGCATACCTTTTTTCGTGAAGGTCATGAACACCTGAAAAGGTGAACCACCGGTCAAAACGACCTACGTTTGGCTCAAGGAACAACGTGAGCGGCTGTTTTTGTCGGTCGCTCTTGAGGCTTTTTCCATAACCACAGCAACAATAGGAGCGCTTTTTGTCCCCTCTCTATTGAATATTGTGTTCGCTAAGGGCTTCAGGAGGAAAATGGAACAATGGACACAACAAGGCAGGTCAAGGATTTGCAATCAATGTAGAAGTAAGGCTGAAAGTTGGAAACATTTGGCCAAGGCTCTCATTCCCGTGCCGGCAACTTTGAGCCTCGCCAGATGTTGAAGTTGGAATGACGAACATGGAGGGAACTCAAAGAATTATTGAATTTCGTCGCAGGGGCCTTGGCACCCAAGAGCTGTGCTCATCAAGGAAGTTAACCAAACCTCGGATGCTCAAATGTAAAGCTGGAGATGTATCAAAGCCATTGGTCGATTTGTCGAGGCACACTCCAGTCCTTCATCATTAATATCAGGATTGTTGCTGAGATCGATTTTCATCTGACAACGTTTTGGAAGCTGTTCCAAACACCTTGGATCATGTACATGTCATTTGCATGCTGTGCTGAAGGATTGCAATACTGTAAATTGATGTAAATGGCAACGGATCAAGCGCCTTCGGAGTCTTTCGCCAAGTCACTCTTGAAGTTCATGGATGCTCATCCACAAGCTTGAGTTGTTCAATCCGCAAGCTTTCAGGTTCACCTCGAGCTCATCCTCAGGGTCAGAAGTGTTGACAAGAGCAAAATCTTCAGATCTGAGAATTGTTTGGTGTCATTTGGTGTCCAACTCACCAACATGTTGCGCCTCGCCCTTGACCCTTACGAAGTGCGGCAATTGCGGCGACGACATGGCCCAGCCGAAATGTTAAAACAGGCAGCGAAGTCGTGGGAGCAATATGACTTTCACCCCTGCCTAATCTCTTGCACAATTGCAGGAGATGTTGATGTAGTTGCTCGAAGGGACAGATAGTGTAGAATGCTGGCTTCTTCTCATAGACGCTGTCCAATGGAAAAATGTGGAAAGACGAACTGAGCGAGAGCCAGAGGAGTCGCAAACCGGCAGAAAAGCAAGGGCAAGCAAAGGTCTTCAATGGTCTTCATACTTGCCCAGAGTATCAGATTGTTCTTAAACTCATCGCTGTTGAGAATTTCAGCTTCAGTGTTTCGTGCTGCGGTCACCATCCATGTAAGCTTCACTACAGTACACATAAATATCTGACTTTGCATTTTCAAAAGGGGTCTGCACAATTGAAAGTGAAGCATGTCCAACTTGTTGTGAAGCCAACCCGATTGAAATTTAAGAATTCCGTAAACAATCTACTCAGTCTTTGGGCGCTTTCAGAAGTGTTGTGGCGCAACGGCAACCACGGAGAAAAGACGACCGACACTAATGTGAGCATGACCTTCAATCGGCCTTCCGTTGCAGTTTCTTTTGAAAAGAAGCTAGGCCCAGGAAAGCATCACTTGGCTTGCAGTTTCATGCCTTTCATGCCCAACAGCCGCTCATGTTTTGCTTCGACTACTCCTCAGACCGGAGCCGAGCGATCTCACAGGCACAAGCAGCTGCCAGGGCACCTGTGGCATGGCTTAACAAAGGCGGCGATCGCACCTAAGAATTCTGCTTAGAGTGCCAAAAGCACCAAGTGGAAAACAATAATCCAGAGAAAGACAAGAGATTTTGAGGACCCGGCTGGAGAAGATGCACCGAAGCGCCATTGGTCGTAGCCCTTCAGTAAAGACTCCACGACGCGTCCACGAAAGTTCCTTGAGTATCTTCGGGTCCAGAGTGGAGGAGTACCCAAAGTAAAGAAAAAATATAGCAAAACTTTAGATAAAAATCTACGGTAAATGAATACAGTGTCTATTTTCTTACTCGTTTTTGCTTGATGCCTCTAAACAAACATTGAAATTCTTGTGCTCCGTCAGCTGGGCGTCTGCTGAAAGAAGGGCATCCGAGTAAAGAAAGTTGCCACACTTCGCAAACGCCCGGCCACTTGCACTGCTAGCTGCTTCCTGGATCCCTCTTGCGGTTCACCGGCAGCAGCGGACTGGGCACGACGGATGAGCAAAACTCACACGGTGTATACTGCACTTGGTACATAAATCCAATCCACTGTATATACATTCTACCACGTACAGTATACACTGTGGAGAAAGGCGGTTCCCATATTTTCAAGGTTCCAAAGGAAGCAACGAGGAGGAAGCCTCGAGACGGCGTGGCTCTTCTTTGCGCAGCAACTCATGAGGCGCATGCAAACCCAGCCCGGCGCTCCACTGGACCTCCACACGGTGTTGTACCATGCCTGTGAGACTGGAAGGACAGTTCTGATATAGAGGAACTCGGAGGAACTACTAAGCTTAAGTAGCCTAGGGCTTGGACACAGAAAGGCTCAGGCTTGATTTGGTTCCTAGATGTTCAGAGAAACTTAAGAGTTCCTAGATCTGACTTAAACCTTGATCAAGACGAGAGTTGCCTTTAACGCGTCCATGGCAGCCAGAAGCCACTGGAAGCCTTCGCCCGATCAGTCCAGCCAGGCCCGGCGAACGACAGTGCAAGGGGCACTTGGCAAAGACCTGGCAATGACACAACACAGCAGCGCTGCATATTGCATACGTGTATTTCTGTGGGGTGTGCGTACAATGAATCACGATATGCTTGGAGTACAGGTTGTGTGTGCGCAAACATGTGGACTTGAGCACAGGCACATTGCGAGTTGCTCACAAAGTGCAAGCCTTTCTGAAGCAAGCACTGTTCTGACTAAACAGCATGAAGGAAAGGTCTGAACAAAATCTGCCTCCAGCCCCTCTTCGAAGTCAGGAGCTGCAGGTGCCTCAATTCCTTCCCACATCCTAGGTTCACGGATCCTTTCATGCCTTCCTTGTCTTTGGTCTTGAAATCGTTAATATAGATTTTTTGGCAAAAAGGACATCAAACGGCTGTTGGCAAAAGAAACATAAGCAACCCTCTAAGTAACCTCTGTAGCTAGGTGTCGTTCGTGCTTCGATGAAAAGGCACTCTTCGACCGATGGCTGCAGCTCTGCCAAAGCTTTTTTGGCTTCAAGAGCCCAACGATACGCCTCTGCTGCACCGCGCACAGCAGGGCGGTTCTGATCGGTGATCAACCATTTATCCAGCAAGAATCCACGGCCATGATCTCGGGCTAGTGTTTCCTTGTCATGAAATATTGCTCAAACAACATCATGTTTTTCGTGAAACAGTTCCGCTTGAGTTTGAATGTTTTGAACGAAAACGGATCCCTTCCAAGTCCTGGATCACCCTTAAAAGTGCCAGCGCCGGCAAACCCACGATAACATCTGGCATCAGTTCTTCCTTGGTACCAATTGCCAGAGCTTGTATTCTTCACAAGTTTGCGTAGCAGTCAGTCTCTGGTTCATTGCTGCAAAAGCAACAATGTTTGAAAATAGTACTCTTTCTTCTCTCCGATAATTGTCGTCGTAGCTCCAAGTCGTCACGAGTCAACCAAAGATCAGGTTTTCGCTTCAGCAGCTCCTTCCCGCAAAGGACACACTGGTCGAAGAAAGCCTCCATCATTTCGGTCATGTTCAACGCCTCACACAAAAGGCACGACACAAATTGAACGATGCCCAAAATCTACCTTCTGTACCAATTCTGCAATACCCTGTCATGAATCTGTGCCACAACAGATTCTGCGGCCTCAGCTTTGCTGTCCATCCATTCAGTTTGCAGCAGTGGCTGCGATGATGCTGTAGTGCTACGCCACAGAGTAGGGCAAACACGGCAACAGCAGTCCTGGATATCAGCACGAGCCAGTGTTCATCAAACAGTCGATCTTGCATGTCTCAGTTGACGCTGTCCTTCACCCAATCTGGAAAAGTCATACATAAATGACACCAGCACCTGGAGCAGCTGAAAAAAGGCGGCTTTGCACTTATTTGTGCCGTGTCTCGTTTGGCCAGGGTCGTGTGCAACGTCATGCATGCCCAACCGTCATGAGTTTTTGTGACGGACTGCAACCACTCTGTGTGTGAAACCGTGTGTTCACGCCAACTCCTAAATTTTGTGCAAAGAGTTCTCGCTAAAGGTGCGACCTATTGAAAAGCTGCCCCCTAAAATCCAGATAATATATTATTAGCAACCGATGTAGCAGAAGGACATGAAGAACCGCACCATAGAGGAATTAAAATAGCCATTGCCAACCTATGGATTAACATATGACTTTATGGAAATTTTACAGTGAATCCGAGATCAAAATCCTAGATTAACTTCATAGGCTATAGCTCTCAGATATAAAAAAAATAAGAGGGGACTAATAAAGATAAATGACGAATAATGGATGTTAATGGAGTTTATAATCAAGAATGAATTGGAAGAAGAACATGAAAAAAATACAATCCATTATTAAATCCTAGAAAACCAGTAGATAGAAAATTGAATGACCAAGAAGTGAGAATAATGGATGCTGCACAGCCTTTCTATAAATAGATTCAGAAGAAAATAACATATTAATGAATTTTAACCCGTCCATAAGTAAGAAATAAGATAGAAAGAAATATGAATGAATAAGTAATCCACAACCTTGATATTATTATCAGCAATAAATAGTATCAACCAATAAGAAGAAAATGGGAATGCAACATGAATAATGAAAATAGTGTGTCCCATGAAGGATTCAGGAAGTGATTACAAATGTTGAAAGAAATAATAACCATAAGAATAAAATAAGCCTAAGAGATGAATGGTGAAGATATGGAGAAGCCGACGAGGTCTTGTGTGACCGGATTTGTCTCCAAATACCTTGGTCTTTGTGCCACCAAGAAGCACAGCCAGCGGCACTCCAAACAAAATACACAGAGCTAGCGGGAGCAATAGACCTGCACATGTCTCAAAAAAAGAGCACTGATAGATCTCATTGTATCTGTCACGGGTGTCTTCTAGCGCTCTTGGACTAGACTGAGGAATCATTCTCAAGTTCGCTCAGGCACTGTATTTCCCAAGCAGCCCTGCTGTGCAACCCATCAAAAGCGAGGCTCCACTGAGCGCCATTGAAACATCCAGAAGGGTGGCGTCGCGATTCGCACCGCGAACCTCAGGCGGTCTCAGACTTTGATCAACAACCGCATCTCAGTCATGTCGCCAAGCTACTATGGTCGGTATAAGTAGAAGAATCCCAAATGAAGCAATGCCAAGCAATTGCTGTGAACTGCTGATGTAATCATGAATCCTCAGATGCAACTCTACCTCGTGAAAAATTCAAATCCATCAACCAGCCTAATTAATTACTTATATATATATATAGATGGCTTCTTGGGGCAGCCATTGACACTTGCAATTGATCGAGGCTTGCAAAAACAATCACCAAGAAGAGAAGGTGTTGGCTTCAGAGTGGAGCGATGGCACAGATTTGACTTCCAGAAGACTTGTCTGGGAAATCAACATTTTGCTGAAATCGCTGTGTGTCAGAAGCGAAAACACAGAGCCCAACGCAAGCATAAGAACTATGGCCACTGTGAATACCAGTGCTGCAGCAAAGATAATGGTGGCAATCAAGTACCCCAGCATTCGGCCAATGGCATTCATCCTAAGAAGACTCATTCATTTGCTCTCACAGTCCAGAATGTGTATAAAACAATTGCCTTTGAAAAGTGCTTGCAAACATAAATTGCTAGCATTTATTGCAAGAATCATGCCGTTGCACATTTCTGTGCATATGTTGCTGGTAGCGTTGCCCATGGTCAAAGTCTTTGGGGCACGCTTAGAGGCGCAGTTTCAGTGTAGCTGATTTGACCTCGTTCGACTCAGTGACCCAAGTTGCGCGTGAAAACAGTTGCTTCTTTCTAGGTTTGGATATGCAGATGCTGCCACCCCGTTGAACGTTACTTGCTTCTCTCATGCTTGTACGTGCGTGCACCTGTATGCCCAACCATGTTCTTCATGCCTGTGTGTGTGTGTGATTGTGAGTGAAGGGATCTCTTGATCGTTGGAGGTCAGCCACAGCTCAAAGGTGCTGAGCCAAATATTCGTGAAAATCCGCAGCTTCCACAAGGTCACAAGGTGCCACAAGGTGCCAGCCATGCTGCCGACTAGATTTAAGCTGTGATGTCCACTATTTTTCAGATCCGCTCAAGTTCCTGATACGGACCTGGTCTGTGTCCACATTGATGGCCTTCGCAGCTGAATGCAAATTCAAGCACTAATTACCTCTATATACACTCACAAAAGCTGGATAGACATGTGGTCTCCGACAAAAATGAAGAGAAGGATTGGAAGTAGCACCTCTGCAAACTTCTCCGCAATCAAGCGTTTGAAGGTCTCCTGTGTTGCTTGCACAGAAGCATCGATGGGTGCATCACCCGCGGGATCAAAATTCACTCTAGCCAACCAAAGTTGTCTCCTGAAGTCTTTGGAACCAAGGCATAAACCAAAAAGGAATGGTCCAAGTTTGTGACCACACTCCCTGTGTCAGCGAAACTGCGCTGAAGGCTGAATTCCCCTTGTGCCCTGTCTGGTGTCAAAGACTCCACTTCAACAAAGCTCGTGATGCATGTCAATCGCAGCACAAACTCTGAAGAAGTAGGTGTGTACGTTGTATAACTCTCTATGTCCCATTCCTCGTCTGTGATCGCTGATTGCTTTAAGCCTGCCATGCGAACCTAAGTTCAAAAGCTATCTGCTCCACTTCAGAACTAACAATGGCTGGTGACTACACAACAGTGGTAGCAGCAGGGATTGGCAGGAACAGTAAGGTACATTTTACAAGAACCAGTATGCAACTTTGGTGCAGCCAAAAGAACCGAAGTTATTCTTCTGTCTGGGGACACGCAACATCAAACCGTGGAATATGGAATAAGCCAAATGGTCTGGCCATGGGGCTGGCCACGGCCAAGCATCAAAATCATCTCCCTTTTGAAAAACGCTGTTGCCAAGTGGCTTTTACGGGTTGAGGCTGATGTGCATCCAAAAGCTCCATTGCTGCTTTCAGGCGCTCCTCCAAATCCCGCATCTCCTGGAGGAAGGGAGCCAGGCCAACTAAATCCAAATCCAAAAAGGCAAAGCGGTTTTGCTTCAAAAGGAGTGCAAAGTTGGAAGGTCTAAAGTCTAAACAAGTGATAACAGCTCAAGCTCAAGAATTCCCAACTATGCATCCAATGTCCTCTTCTTTGGTGTCATCAATTTCTGGCCGCGGCGTATCCTACGCTGTCTGATGCAGAGAGTCACAAAGCGAAGCAGGCACTTCTGTTTGACGTGTCGAGAGAGGGAGAGAGAGTGTACATGTGTATGCATATATATATATATGTATTACTATACACGTCACTTCACTGCACGTCACTTCACTTTACCGCTTCACCACAGCACCACCACATATCAAATCGCCACATGACAAATCCCCACAATGAGCATGTCAAATCATTGGAAGAACATGTCCAACTCCAACAAGGTTCTGATGCTTTCCCGCATTGAAAACTTCCCCACGAGGTTCTGAGCCGCCGGGAAGTTTCGTGGCATCTTCAAGCATGACTGTGACCATGACATTCTTATTTACAGTGTGTCCTCCTGTGACTCCATCTTCTCTTCCAGCTTTGCAGTTTGCGGCCTGCTTCCCAAGTAATTCATGTAAATGCTCTGCAGCTCTGCATTGCTTCTGAGCAGCTGTTGGAGCGCTTTCTGGAGCTGGGGGCAACGGGCTTCAGCCAGCCTCTTCTCAAGCATGAACCTCCAGCTATATCGATCAACAACGTGCAGACTCACCTCTGAAGAGAATGAAGTACAAATACAGACTTCAGTAGGAGTAATATCAGTTCAATACCAGAGAGTCGTGTGCTCTTCCTGCCGGGCTACCCAGCTAGAAGCTCGGTTGGTGTAGCATCTGAAAGAGCAGCTCCTCAACATAGCAGAATCCAAAAGAATAGGGCATCAGTGAGCCATGTCAGTATTGCTTCAGCGGCACGCTGCAATGGCAAGACTTTTGCAAATTGTGTTTTGCAAGAAAGGGCGATTGAAAGGCCCGAATCTTCTTCAAGCTATCTTTGTCCCTTGACTTCACACACTCAGCAGAACTTGTCCATATTTGCTATCCACCGCAAATCTTGTGTCGGGCTATAGTAACCAAATTGAAGGTTCCCATGAAGATGAAACTGAAAAAGCTTGGTGCCCTTGCATCAAGGAAGAAACCACATCAGCCAAGTTCAGCCAAGACGCTATGGCAGGGCTGTGAAGCTTGTGGCAAAAGGATCTGCAGGTGCAACATCTCTTGCTGATAAATTCCCACGTCTGTCGCCATACGTTCACCTGATATGCAAATAGAATTGTTATCCTCTTTTTTCAATGCTAAAGTACACCCACTGAAATACTTCTCAATTCGCACACTGAAATACTTCGCTACTACCAAGAAGCAAAGATCTTTGACCTCCTCCGTGTCATCTTTTGCATGTACCAACCACTCACTCGCAAGATCTGTGCACCTCAACAGTTACGACAACCAATTGAATGCTTCAGAATCCTGAATTCAATTGTCCAATGCCATTGTCCAAAGGCAAAAATGACTGTGGGCAAAACGAGATTACAGCTTGAAATGGGGCAAGTCAGAGCACCTCTCTACCATAGCCTGTGTCTTCTCAGCTGCTGCACTTCTCCGTCTCTCAAGGACCCTTGCGGCCCGGCGCAACAAATGCTTCTCCACTGAACTGGCTTCCCACATTGTTCGAAGTAGTTCCTCCCATAAAATGTGCTTCAATCGACGACGCAAACTGCACACAACAGTGAATCGAAAAACACAACAATCAATACTCCGAACATTGACTGTACATTCAAACACTCTTGAAGTGCGTATTGGAGTGCGTCTTGTATGTGTTAAACTCTGCTCGGGTGTTGTGTGGAAGCACTTGTGCTCTGTGTGCTCTCCGGTCTCGGTGCCGGCTTTGTCCTGCTGGTTTTGACGCTGCTTCGCCAACATGGCCCACCATTGGAAGATTTGAGCAGCGCCAAGCATCAACTGCCTTGGCAGACGACTCAGAAACTTCGTACGCTTCGTACAGTGACCTTTGAACGTGTGCACCTTCTTTCCACTTCGTTCCGTACGTGCCTCAGCTGCTGCAATCTACACATGAGGAGCAATCTGGCGATATCATCACTAGCTGCAAGGCATTGCAAGGCTGGAAGGACAAGCGGCATGACGTCATAGCTATCAATATGGTGTGCATGGCCACCCGGTAGTTCAACCCGCACGCCCATCTTCACTCGCCTCACACGACGCTTTGCAGCCCTTCACTTGGCTGCAGTTTACTGTCGTTCACAGGAAGGCCAATGCAAATGTGCGTGTGTGCCATTCTGCCAAGGAAGGCTCCTTCGGTCTTCTTCTTGGTCGGCTTTTCTCACGCCTGCAAATTTGTCAAAATGGAAGTTCGCAATTCTCTTTGAAGAACTATTCCTCTGCAGTACCCTAGCTTCAATTCCATGCACAGACCAGGTTGTGGGACAACAGCTGAGCTAATGGCTTCGGCTGAGGACTTGATTCTTGCTGCCAAAGGGAGCTTACTTAGCTGATGCTGGAAATGCAGTCTGGCTCTAGCTGCTTTGTCTGCACCGCGCAGTGTGGCTTTTCATTTCGTCCGGTTCTGAGGGGTGTGGACAACGCATTATCGACATTTTAAGGTCTGGATGATAGCCCTCTCAGAAGGCTGTCAGCTACCGTAAGAATGAAAATGCTCCTACATTGCCTTTGTTTGTCTGCAATTGACGTCTGAAATCCAAGCAAAAACCGCCCGAACTTACAATGATGGTCGATCATGATGCCGAACGAACCACGGAAACAACAACAACCACCACAATACACACATTAAGAACATGAGATCTTGAAGGCTTACACAAAGCTGAGCTTTCGGAGTCTGTCAATAACGTTAAGTGGAAGGATTCTATCCCAGTGCTCAAGACTTCTTCAATCCTTTTCGGTTCAGATTTGGCCCCATGCTGATGCCTCGACGCATCGCAGAGCTTGCTTCCTATAGTCAGAAAAATGCTGCCAGCCAAGCCACTAAACAGAAGATAGAAGTGGGTACCAACTTGAGAAGATGAAGGCTCTACGTCAAAATACAGTCAGACTGGCCATGGCATACAGCAGAAGGATAAAGCACAGGTGTCAGTCCTCTGTAAAGGAGGACCTTTGCAAGCGAGCAGTCCTCAACCTGCTTCGGCGGTCCTGGCAATTGGAGATGCGAAAGACCACTCAAACAAATTGACAAAATTCAAAGAACGATCAAGATCAAATGCTCTTTATACAAGTGTCAATGGCGGTTGGCCGTGATTGGTAGGGCTGGGACGAGCCTCACTCTGTGAGGAGCTGGTTGAAGCTCTGTTTGACGCCTGTGGTCTCACATGGTGGGCTGTAGTAGCAGGTATGAAAAGTTATGCACGTTTACAGAAGAACTCTGCCAACGCCTTTCCGCAATACACGCAGTCAACACTGAAACTCAGACTGAAGCCCAAAAGGTGTACAACACAGTGTATTGAAGTCTTGCGGGTTTTGAGAGAGCTCGCAAGTGTTTTGAGGGCTCGCAAGCGTCATGAAACGAATGCTTTTATGATTTCAAATCTGTGAACTAGGAACCAGAAGCTACTAGGGGCTCCTGGCATCGCTACTAGGAACAAGGACGCT